AAGGTTTCCCACTTTATACTTGCTACGTAGAACCCGCGACCATAGGCTAGAGTAATCATGCATTAACCGCCAACCGGCTTTAGCTAACAAAGCTTTATTCATGAGTTTGGAAGAGCGTATACCAAGCCCACCCTCCGATTTCGTTAAGCAAACTCTGTCCCATGATATAAGATGCTGCTTTCTCTTTTCAACCGTGCTACCCCACAAAAAAGAACGAGAGATCTGATCCAATCTTTCCAAAGTCGCCTGCGGCATTAAAATGGTTGTCATTGTGTGAATCGGAATTGACGACAAGACCGACTTAGTCAAAGTTATCCTCCCAGCCAGACTAAGAAAACGCCCTCTCCAACCAGATAATCGGGCCGCAACACGCTCAATGACCTCACCAAAAGTATCCTTGTTAATCCGTTTGTGAAGCACCGGCATGCCCAAATATTTCCCCAACTCTCTAGTGGCTTTGATCCCACTTTCCTCACTTATTTCTTTCGCAAGATCTCTATGCACGTTATCTGAAAAAAATATCTCCGACTTCTCGAGACTCACTTTCTGACCCGAGGCTTCACAAAAATTTTCCAACACTTTCCGTATCACCCGGACCTGAGCTACGGATGCTTCTGCAAACAAAATAAAATCATCCGCAAAGCAAATGTGGGAGAGCTTTGGACCGCCTTGAGAAAGAGAAATAGGCTTCCAATCCTTCCTCGCTATAGAAATCTCTATTTGATGACACAACCGTTCTAAGCATAAGACAAAGAGATAGGGGGAAAGGGGATCCCCTTGTCTGAGACCTCGGGCTGGTTTGAATGGTTCAGTCTTCTCACCATTCCAAAGGAGAGTCATCGAGGGACCAGCTGCACATTCCATGATCCAAGTCCTCCAAGTATCCGAGAGCCCCGCAGCCAGAAGGGTATCTTCAAGAAAATCCCAACGAATACGATCGTAAGCTTTTTCGAGGTCAAGCTTCAGCAACATCCACCCTTTACGTCCCTTTTTACGTCTCATCGAATGCACTGCCTCTTGCACAACCAATATATTGTCCGTACTCAGTCTTCCCGGAATGAAGCTAGATTGAGCCGGCCCAATAAGCTTAGTTATGACTTGTTTCAGTCGCATAACCATAGCCTTGGTTATGATTTTGAACAACACATTACAAAAATTGATCGGTCGAAATTGCATTATGGTTTCCGGCTTCACTACCTTAGCAATCAAGACCACCAAAACATCATTTGTCCCTTCCGGTAACTTCTTTGTCTCAAAAAACTCTAAGACGAAACGTGATACCGATGGCCCGACAACATCCCAGCAGTCATGGTAGAATACGGGTTGGTATCCATCCGGTCCTGGTGCTTTGAATTTTCCCATACTTCTGATGGATTCCTCAACTTCCAGCGGGGTGAAAGGTCTGTTCAAATAATTCCGTTCTGAGTCCGTGAGTGCAGCAAAGCCCAGGTGAGGTAAACCCGTAACTACCTCGTCAATATCCGTCGTAGAGTAGAGTCTCTTGTAATACTCAGTCGCAAGAGTCTCCAAATCCTGAGGAGAAGAAACCCACAAACCCTCATTATTTTTCAAGCTGTCGATCCTATTCCTACGCCGACGTATAATTGTCGAAGTGTGGAAGTACTTCGTGTTTCTATCCCCGTCAACTATCCATTTTTCCCGAGACTTCTGATACCAAAGTAGTTCCTCTTGCTCAAGCACCGTGTCTAACTCTTTGATCAAAATTTCCTCTCTCGTCAACAGATCATCCGTCTGAGCAGCATCTAACGAGTCCTGAACCAACTTAATCTCCGTCAGAAGCTTCTCTTTTCTTCTATGAATATCACCAAACACTTCACGGTTCCATGTTTTAAGTTTTAATCTTAAACCCTCCAAGGCAGCAGGAGTAGAGAGCTCATTATTCCAAGAGTGGGTGAGAATCTCTTGAAAGCTTTCATGCTTAAGCCAAGCAGCCTCAAACCGGAATGGTCTACGTTTTGGGTTCCCACTGTTGACCGGACACAATTTCAAATAAAGAGGTGCGTGGTCTGAAGCTAACACTGGTAGGTGGGTCACTGTTGCTTCTTGCCATTTCAAACGCGCATGAGGACAACAAAGAATCCGATCCAACCTTTTAGCAACGAAAGTACTCTCCAACTTTCCCCTCCTCCAAGTAAACCGACTTCCCTTAAAACCCATATCAATTAAGGAGAGCTCGTTTATCCAACCACCAAAGGCCAGTGAGTCCGACGACAAACGGCCATTCCCACCGGTTCTTTCGTCCAAGCGGATGATAGTGTTAAAGTCCCCCCAACTATCAAGGGATCATCAATCGCTGTGATCACTGATTTCAAACTCCCCCAAAGCCCACTCCGGCGACTAGCCGAAGGAGCAGCGTACACCGCAATTAAGTGCACCTTCTCCGTACTATTCTCAATCGTCGCGTGGATAAACTGGTCCGATGACTGTACAATCGAGACTACACCCACAGCAGACCGCCACAACAACCAAATACCCCCACTTTGACCCTCAGCATCGACTCTAAAAGAGTTCTCGAAACCAAGGTTCTGGCAAATGCGTTGTGCTCTATCTCCTCCAGCGTGAGTTTCAAACAGCGCAAGTATATCAACATTAAATTTCTTCATAATGTAACGAATCGATCTTTGAAAGTTGGGTTTGTTCGCCCCCCGGCAATTCCAAAAAAGACAATCCATTAAGACTTCACAAAGTAACCATTGGATCACCGGGGCGAACCGTCAAACCATCGTCGTAACCTCTCCCACAGCCGACGGAGCACTAGGTGTGCCCGTTGCTCTAGTATGTGGATTCTCAGTCGACTCCTCCCTCGAAGCCTCTGTAGAAGTCGGGTTCATGTCAGTCAACGAGCTAGTACTCAGCCGATCACCACTCTCTGGTGTAAACACGCCACCGGGTCGGCCCACGAAGCCTTCCTCAACCCTGAGCCTTTTCCCGGACACAGCTAAATCCCCATCTTTGCGTTGTGACCCAAAAACTAGGCCCCTAGTTGGCCGATTCTTAATGACTTTAGGCCTAGGCCCATTAAACTCATTGGGTTTGTTACTCCCAACTTTAGTCTCTTTTAACGCTTCCCGCTGTCCCTTCTTCTTTTTTCCAAAACCTCCACCAGCCGCCCTATCTTGGGTAACACTCTTCCCTTGATTTCCTCCTTGCGTAATACCCTCATTTTCCTTATTCTCCTCATTCGAAATCACAACTTCCCTTAATCCCGAGGCAATCGTATCTTCCACCAAGCTCCCAAACTTATTGGAAATTGTCATTATTTCCTTATTCCCATTTCCCGAATTAATGCGAAGATTCCTCTCCGATATCCCACCGGCTGCAAACACCACCTTATCCGCCGGGGCTGAAGTGTTCCGACCAGGACGTCGCACCGCCGTAAAACCATCGCCTTGTTGATTTATCACCTGAGGAGGTGCTACTATCGGCTGCTCCACCACTGGTTCCACCGGCCGTCGGGGGCAATTATGCACCAAGTGACCAAACACACCGCAGCCCGAGCATATGTTCGACATACCCTCATAGGCAACATAGTATCTTTCCCCACTGATCATCACTGAGCCCTTAAGTGGCTTGGATAGATTCACTTCCACACATATTCTCGCAAACCTTGCCCTTTCAATGTGTAAAGTAGTCAAATCCACTTTTACTGGCTTCCCCAATCCACTAGCAATACCTAGTAAAATATCCTCCTGGTAGAAAATCACCGGAATGTTTGACAGACGGACCCAAACTGGTGTTGTAACTATGTCATCGCGAAGTGGGTTAAAATCCGGTGACCAGTCCTGAACCAGTAGATAGCTTCCAAATACTTTCCATGCCCCCCCCCCCGTCAAGGCTGCATGATACTCGTCTTCCCGATCAAACCGAATCATAAAACACTGCCGAGGCAAATCCAACACATACATCCCCCCATTAGGCTTCCATAGCTCTCTCAGTTTTCGACTCAACGCCGAGATAGCTACATTCCTTCCCAAAACCTTCACGATAATACATTGTTTCCACAGCCCCTTCATCACATCCAGCACTTCAGACCCAATTGTAATAACCGGTTCTCCATCCTCTCCATCCGGGAATTCCACCTGTAACCGCTCGGACACAAAAGCAGAGTTTAACACCTTCTCTGGTGCAGACCTCCCACCTACTTCACCACCAGTCACCTTGCTCACCCACGAAACAACCTTATCAGGCGGATCTCCTGGAGGACGCCCCTTCTCCCCGGCATCCGTCATAGTAGCATCTTGTTCAGTCACCACCGAAACCCTAAAATCGCCGTTGAGAGCCATCTTTTTTTTGTTCTTTTCTTTTTATATTGACAATAAGATTAACATTTACAAGTCTTACTACTAGACTTGAGATTTAATGAACTTAATAAAGATATATAATATGAAAACTTTTATAAAATTAAGTTCTTCTTCTTTCTTAAATGTATTTTTAAGTTATTATATTTGATTTTTAGCTATATTTGCTATAATGAGGGGAAACTTCCACACAAAAATAAATGAAATCAGATGTGTCAATACAAAAAAAAATAGGAAGCATACCCAACATGAAAATATTTTCATATAAATTTTTTTTGCTCACAAATTATTTGTTGAACTCATTTTAAGTCTTGAAGTATTTGCAATCAACAAATTAATCCATCTATCGCATGCGCACATTAAGAGGACCTCCATCGGTGGGATGAAGGGCAGTATCTCAGCATTTTATAGTAATACAAATAGAAAAAGTTTGAGAGAGAAGGAGATACTAGCAATTAATCATTATGATTAAATTATATTACAACAAGCAATTTGTAGATTAATTTTGGGCTGTTTTTAAACTTGCTAAATAGAGTTTAACTTTATTATGTTTTTAATTAGCATGGAATGACCTATTCATAATATGTTTTAATATAACCCTTAATATATATTTTTGTGGAATTTTAATTTGTAGAAGTGTCATTTACACTCGTTGTCGCCTAACAATGGGTCGATAACGGCACAAATGAGAACGTCGGCGACAGAGAAATCAGGGTTTACATTCTTGGGATGCAAGTTAACCGGATCAGGCTCGACCTATTTGGGAAGACCATGGGGAGCTTATTCTAGGGTTGTCTTTGCTTATTCCTTCTTCTCCAACGTCGTCGCACCTCAAGGCTGGAACCAATGGGGAGACTCAACCAAACAAAAGTAACCTTATTTTTTTTACCTTTTTGGTTTTATGGTTAAACTCTTATGAATATTATTGACTAATCAATGTGTATACTAATATTTGTCTATAATATTAATATGTGATCAGTACTGTATATTATGGTGAATACAAATGTTATGGTCCTGGAGCAGACAGGGGACAAAGGGTGAAATGGTCGAAACAACTATCGGACGACGAAGCAACTGTCTTCTTGAGCAAAAATTTTATCGGCGGCAAAGATTGGCTCCGACCTACGCCTTCTCACTTCAAAATTGCTCCTAAATCCAAACTCTAAATAAATTAATTAAATTCATTAACAATAATCACATCATTTGGTTACTATATTTTCTTCCTTTTTTTTTCTTGTACAAATCCTTTATACAATACATATCGCTTGTAAATTAAATGTGTGTAATTTATTTAAAACAGTGTGCATATAATAAGCTCGATGGTTGATTCTTGTATAGGTCAATATTTCCCAGAACTAAATGCAAGAAATTGTCAAAGAGATAGAGAGAACAAATGAAAGGTTTCTTTTGAAAAAAGGGAAAAAGAAAGAATGAATCATATAAAGAAGATGAGAAAATTCAATTTACAAATATTATTCAACAGACGCGTCTAAACATAATGTTTATAACCACGGAATCGGTTTAAACATAAACCGGGAAATTGATGACGGTTATATTTCTCCTTAACCGGTTGAAGATGGGTTATTAACTTAATTAATTTACAAATCACTTGGTTTTAAACTAAGAAGAAGAAGAAGAAGAAGAAGAAGAGGGTTATCTCGTTTTCGGAAAAAGATGACAGTGTAGTTACCGTTGTGATAACAGTCACAAAATCTCTCATTGATTTCCTTAAAACTAAAATTTCAATATGACCGTTGTGATTCATATTTCCTTTTCTTGTAAAACCTCTTTATTATTAATTTGTTTTTATATTAAAATTCTCTCTCTCTCTCTCAACTTAACGTTACTTCTTTGATCGAGAAATCAAAATTCTCTATTTCCCACTTCTTCTTCTTCTAAACCCTTAAACCAAAAATAAACTAATCTCCTTAGTTCGTTCTCTTTGTCGAAGCCGATCCATCTTCTCCTTGGATTCTTTGATTTATCGTTGCTGAAAAAGCTTCTATCTTCAGCTTTCTTCTCCTCGATTTGTTGTTGTGAGATTCGGTTTGGATGATCGGGAGATACGTAACAGGGCGATCAAAACGGTGCTGAGTTAGTGACGTGGTGGCGAGCGAGGCTTTTGGGTCATGGCGGTGCTCTTGCTTCTTCTTCTTCTTCTTCTTCTTCTTCTTCTTCCCTTCTAGGTACCGCTCTATCTCTTCTTGTTACTCAGACTTGGAATTTTCCTCTTGGTCTTGTTCTTGTTGATCTCTTTGGTGTCTTAGCGTTAGTTAAAACTTTTATCCAATTTTAGGGTTTTATTAATTGGATAAAACATATCGATTCTTCCAAGAACGCTATTGGACTAAAGCTTACAATGTTATCCTCATTTCCTCTTTGTTAACTCACGCTGTAAGCTTTAGATTACACTGTGTGTCTTTATGTGACTTCTTTTTGATGCAGTTTCAGTTCCTGAAATCAGAGCAACGGATCATTCAAGGTAGAGAGCCTATGTGTAACTCCAACTATGTCTGTGAGGAAAAGGGGGATTCCTCTGAGTTACGTTTTGGCTAACTTAAGGAACTGTTCTGAAGCGGGTAGACTTTGCTACAGTATCTTGGTGGGGAGGTTGAAACTTACCAATGTATTGGATTCTGGAGAATGGCTCCATTTTATGACATGGGATAATGCTCATTCAATAGGTATGAACTGCGTGTTAATTGGGTTTTCAAGGAAACATCTCCATTTGTGAAAACTGCAGGCCTATGCTCTATTTGTGGATCTATTAGCTTGAACTTTCTACAAAACCAAAGACTTCTTCTGTAGAGTTTGGAGCTAATGAGGTGATTCTCATTACCAACCATTCCTTAAAAAGCTTAATTCATGCTTTTGATTTGGGACATGTTAGCTTGATTTTGGTTTGGATTCTGAATTTGCACTTAATGCTTTTTATCAGGCTGGTTTAATTGTGACTATGTTCCTGATGGTATAACGAAAGTGAGATTGGTGTAACAGAAGTGAGACTGCCCAGATTTTATAAATTCCCCATGCTCATATTCATCAAGCTGAAAAATGCATGGTCTCGAGGTAATCAAACTTATCTGTCTCAATGTCCTTGTCCCTTTGAATGAAATAAATCGTCTATTGTTGATCTCTTGGTTTTTTATTTTGATTATATTGTCTTTGAAGGTCATTGATGTTCTCTATTACCATGAAGATTTGATCGAGGACTTCCTCACAGTTTTCCAAGGATCATGTAACATCATCATTACTACATTTATAACCGAGGTATACTGCTTTACTGATTTGATTTGCGAGTTTCATTGCATTGTTTTGATAAATTACTACTGAGCTCATGTTGCTTCTCGACCACATAGAATTGTTACATGTCTGCAACATAGAGAATTGAATCTCAATGTCATATATGCATATACGATTTTGGATTGATGCAAACGCAAGCCATTTTGTCTACTTTTTAGTTCATCAATCATGTTAGCCTTGTGACCACGTATTATTATTCCTATCTTTGTTCTGTAACAGTGTGCACACTCTCAATGAGAACATTGTGGTATGCTCTCTTTGTTTCTGGTTCAGTTTTTAGTGTACTTGAGCTTCGTTTCAAATTGAAAAAACTGATTGTTTAGCTGTGTTGTCCATTTCATTATAGCTGGTTATATGAGTTTGAGTTTAGTTCTCTTAGATAAGGTTATTGTAGTTTATGTGCTGTGGAATGCATTTACCGGAAGCATCTTTACATTTTGAAATGTAATCATTCTTGTAGGAAGCCATCAATGTTGCTGCAAAAGACTGGGGTCTTCAGTGCCTTCGTTATGAGATCAGTGAGTTAATTTTCTGTTGAGTCTTTGTTGGATACCCTTTTGGCCTTGTATCTAATACATGTATATCCAGGGGATATCATGCCTCCTAATGGAGTGAGAGTGCTATGGAAATGCAAGCTGAAGCTGTAGAAAGAGAGCCCAGATTCTCGAGTCTGCAAGTATCCTTAATAGTTTATGTTCTGGGAATGAAACTATGTGCCTGCTACTGCACATTTCATTCAAATTCCTTGATCAAAGCTACCAATTTCTCCTTTTTAATTTATTTACAATTAGAACACAATAAATCCTGCTTAAAATGTTGTTCCTCATAATCTGCTAACTTTAACAGGAGAACGTCAAGTCCATATCAACAGAGCTGATGGTAAGAAAAGTTCTGTAATCTTGGAATCAGAAGCTGCACAGATGGACCAAAAGGTGTTATGCACCATCAAAAGGTGTACCTCTTTTAGTTTATCTATCATGTTAGCCTTGTGATTCATGTATTATATTATTACTCTCTTTGTTTTGTACTGAGAGTTTGTGGTTCTCTGTCTCCATTGTATGTCCCCTATGTACTTCTTATATATGATTTTGTGTATTCAATGTTAGATAATGAAGATCTGTCTTGCGTTATGCTTTTGTTTCAGGGAGCAGACTCAAGATTCGATGGTCCAGAAGATTAGAAAACGAATGTCGATTCCTACGATGATGATGATGATGATCTCTGCAACATATTACATCATCCGTAAGTTTAGAGATTGATCAGAGCACAAAGTATACATATTACATCATCCGTAAGTTTAGAGATTGATCAGAGCACAAAGTATACATATTACATCATCGTTTCATTGACTGAATGATGATTTTTATTGATCCTCTGTTTTCTTTCAGTCAAGATCGATGTCACAGGATATTGAATCTAGCCACTTAAACGCTTTCACCAGAGAGACTAGGAGGAAATTTAAAAGAGGATTATATAGTGAAGAGAGAGGTATTAGCAGGTTCGTAATAGTTTGTCTTTAATTATAAGAAGATTGAATTAGTGTCAAATTATGAAGTCTCTGATGTGTTTGTTTTGTATTATGTGTAAAATTCGGGAACGGCCACTGTCTGAGCCGTCACAAGATACTTGAGATATGGGAGATATCACAGCCTTAAAGGTATATTATAACTTTTCTAACTTTTATTTTTAACTAATAATAATAGATTTTGATATATGTTTATATCTTCTAAAATATACATAATAGAAAAAAAAAGATTTTATATTTTCCATTTCTATATTTTCTGATTTTAAACTGTCAAGATTTTTTAAATCAAATTTCAATTAAACAGTTTTAATTTTGAATAAATAAAAATGGTTTTTTTTGGGTTAAATCTAAGTGTTAAATTTAATTACGTTGAAAACAAAATGGGCCGAACATCCAGTCCCTTTGTGGTCCGTTAGAGGTGTATAAGTTCAACATGTTTTTCACGTATTGTAAATTTAACGCTTAGGTTTAAAGGTTTTTTTATGATGAATATATTTAAGTAAGTTTTGAATTTTAACAACAACATCATTATACAAAATGTTTTTACTTTTAGAAAAATATAAATGTTAAATTAAAATATGATGAAAACAAATAGGATAGTTCAAAATCCCTTTGTGGTCCTTTAGTTTGTTCAAGGTCTTTTTTGATAAAAAGTTTAAGTAAATTGTTTTGATTTTTTAACTAAAATTTTCATTATACACTATAGTTTGGTGTATAAGTTTAATATAATTCCACGTATCGTGAGTTTAACACTTCAACGCATTAATCCATTAATACCCATATTTTCATGAGTTGGAATCGTTTGACATCCCTAGCTTCAACGCATTAATCCATTAATACCCATATTTTCATGAGTTTGGAATCATGTTTCTATAATTATTTTGACTTCTAACCAAAAAATTTTCATCATACAAAATATTTTGGATGGCATATTTAGATACGTTGAAATAGAATGGCAGACTTTTCATAGCTTACGTTAAAACATAAATTTTAACCCACGTTTTAACGTATGAAGTAAAAATATTGCATGTGTTAAAATTTGTAAAATCATAACATTAACATCATATCTTCTAATATAGATTAGGGCCCGTCTAGGTTATTTATTTTCAAATATTGTAAGAATGTTATATCCAAAGTATTCAAAAAAAATATATAATTTTTTAAGTTGGTAAATTGTTTTATTTAAGTTTCATGCATATTTAAAAATTGTTATTAAACATTCATTATAAAAATCTAGTAATGTTAAAGATCACCAAAAAAATTGTGAGCTATTCACTATTTTCATAATTATTAACAATTATTTAAAAAAAAAACTTATTTAGAAATTATATCCTAAAAAAAAAATTATTTTCTAACTTCCAATTTTTGTAAGAAAACCATTCTCGCATATTTTATTTTACTTTGCAATTTATTGTATTATGAAGTTTTATTTCAAATTATGAAGTCTCTGATGTGTTTGTTTTGTATTATGTGTAAAATTCGGGAACGGCCACTGTCTGAGCCGTCACAAGATACTTGAGATATGGGAGATATCACAGCCTTAAAGGTATATTATAACTTTTCTAACTTTTATTTTTAACTAATAATAATAGATTTTGATATATGTTTATATCTTCTAAAATATACATAATAGAAAAAAAAAGATTTTATATTTTCCATTTCTATATTTTCTGATTTTAAACTGTCAAGATTTTTTAAATCAAATTTCAATTAAACAGTTTTAATTTTGAATAAATAAAAATGGTTTTTTTTTGGGTTAAATCTAAGTGTTAAATTTAATTACGTTGAAAACAAAATGGGCCGAACATCCAGTCCCTTTGTGGTCCGTTAGAGGTGTATAAGTTCAACATGTTTTTCACGTATTGTAAATTTAACGCTTAGGTTTAAAGGTTTTTTTATGATGAATATATTTAAGTAAGTTTTGAATTTTAACAACAACATCATTATACAAAATGTTTTTACTTTTAGAAAAATATAAATGTTAAATTAAAATATGATGAAAACAAATAGGATAGTTCAAAATCCCTTTGTGGTCCTTTAGTTTGTTCAAGGTCTTTTTTGATAAAAAGTTTAAGTAAATTGTTTTGATTTTTTAACTAAAATTTTCATTATACACTATAGTTTGGTGTATAAGTTTAATATAATTCCACGTATCGTGAGTTTAACACTTCAACGCATTAATCCATTAATACCCATATTTTCATGAGTTGGAATCGTTTGACATCCCTAGCTTCAACGCATTAATCCATTAATACCCATATTTTCATGAGTTTGGAATCATGTTTCTATAATTATTTTGACTTCTAACCAAAAAATTTTCATCATACAAAATATTTTGGATGGCATATTTAGATACGTTGAAATAGAATGGCAG